GATCTTTTGAGGTCCCTTCCAATCCCTAATTATTCTGTGATTCTGTGAAATGGATAGAGCCCCTGCTGAAGTATGAAGAACTGACAGAATGCATGAAGAGAACCTAAAATGTGAAAGTCATCAACAGTTTTAAGTGTTTACTAGATAGGCTATTGTGCAGTTTCCTGTTAAGAAATTGTAAAATCTAATGCAACAATGTATATTTTTTTTTTTTGTCAGATGGTAATATACATTTCGTAAGACAGGCACATCAGAAAATGTAAGAAATTAAAAAAAACCTTTTTCTGTCTGTAACTTTCTAACAGGAAGTGGATTTGATCAGAGGTCAGGTGCAGCAGCTCATTTCCTTACCAATGTGGATGGCTCTACAACCTGTAAGCATAACCCTGTACACTGGCAGAGCAATCTTGTAGGCATTATCCAAGTCCTGTATAAAGGGAATTTTTATGTAATACTGTTATGGAAGTCTAACATTTAAAGCTGCCTGCATTGCTATGCAATTATATTTTTGTGTGCTTGGTAAAATTTATATTTCTTGTGTGTTGCAAATTTCCATGTAATTGTAATTATAAATTAATTATGTATTTTTTCATAAAAATAAGCTTTGTTGCTTGTAGCTTCTTCAAGCTATAATTTGTAGACAAGGCCATGAGATCAGAGGAACTGGGGAATGGAGCTGTGATCTAGCCATGTCTCCTTAGCAGTCTTGTATTCTTGTTTTACAGTGATACTTACTGAGATTAGTCTGAGACAGTTATTTATTTCAGTTTGTTATATATTTTTTCTTTTTTTTAATAAGAAGACTGGATTGTATTTTTATCTCTTATGGAAACAAGGATTCTTAATGACTAAATAATATTTTAACATTTCAGAAACGACTGGAACAAGAGCTGAAAAAGACACCAAAACTAAGAAAATTCTGGAATCTAATTAAGAAAAATGATGAGAAAATGGATGAGGAGACAAGAAAACAGTATGTTACAAGAACCTTTTTTCCTGTTAAATCCAAAGCCCTTAATGCATTCATTGTGTTTCAGCTAAAACAAATTGTTTCAATAGAAAAATGCAGGTTTTCTTAAAAAATTTGTCATCTCCTGGAAACTATTTTGTTTTCCAGTATTTTTTATGTAAAATACTATTATGGAACTTAGTAATTTTTTTTTGAGCAGCAAATTTGTGATACCAAATCTTAGAGCTATAGGATGAAAGCCATAGGAGAATACTCATGTAGTTACTCGTATTTTTTCATGACCTTTAGCAAAAGTTTAGCTCTTAAACAAATAGCTTGTGCAAGTATTGGAATAAATTGGTGTGTGTCTCACCAAAGTAAAATGTTCTGATACTTTGGTATTGCAATGTGGTAAGGTGTTGGTGGTGACATACTTCTCCTCTTTGACTCACCAGAAGCATGGGATTTTAATCAGTTCTGTGCCTAAAAATGTAGACTTTGCTAATCTGTCTGCGTGAGTGCAGAGAGAATAGTTATAATCTAAACAGTTCAGGTGTGTTACAAAGCAACCTGATGCCATTATATGAATTTTAAAGCAGATAACTTTGTATTCGTGAAAGATACGATGTGCTTCTAGTCTGCATTTAAGGAATATTAATGCTTTTGTCATATGTTTGGTTTTAGAGCATATCGGGAGAGAACATTTCTTTCACAGCTCATTCAGAAATTCATCTCTGTGCTAAAATCAATACCTGTCTCAGGTAACTGTGATTCTTATGTTAGTTTGTTATCTGGTAATCTGTTGTAAACCCTTTTCTCTTGCTGAAGCAACTCTTCCTTAGGATACTAACCTGAGGTTGAAGACCTTATGTGGATGCAGTTTTAGTAAAATCCAAGTCTGTCTGCAGAGATTTCATGTCAAAATTAGTGTTCAAATCTGTGTATGCTTTGAAAATGAAATAGCAGAAAGCTCTTCTGTTCAGTATGGACTAAATAAAATAAAATATTTCTGGATACTGATATTCTTTGTTGTGTGCTTACAGCCCTCTTACAGCGTTAAAGCATTTGTACGTACGTAGATGCCTGTTAAACAGGTGGTATAAATGCATCTGATAAGTCTCTGTTCTGTCAGTGCTGTTGATTTACGCTAAGAACAAAAGCCTAAGTGAAGTGAAATTCTGTAAGATTTGACTGCTCTTGATTTATAAGTCATTGTGACAAGGAAAATTGTATGCTTGCCTGATTTAGAAAGGAAGAGTGTTTGTACAGGAAGGTGCTAGCCTTTTGACAAAAAAAAAGGCTTATTATGCTCCAAGTACAGTGCAGTTTGGGTGAAATAACTTCCCAGAGTTCTGCATTTGCTCTTAAACTCTTGGCAAACTTCAGCTCTTAACTGTCCCGTAAGGGGAAATTCAGTGTATTGTGGCTTCTTCAGAAGGGATACACCCGGTCCCCTCTGTTTTCCCAACTATGCAAGACTTGTTTTAGGAAGACTTACATTTACCATTCTTTGAAGGCTTTAGGAAATAGATATTCATTAAAGCAGAGTTAGTGTTTTTGAGATGATCCTAAAGGTTCCTTAGTACTCATTACTGAGTACCTTTAAATATTATTGAGGCCTTTTGCACACACCTTGATTGCAGCTTTTAAATAGGTATTTTGGAGTACTCGGAGTTAAAAGTTCTTAAGAAACTTAGTGGGTCGTTGGTATCTTGTGGAAGTGTGCATTTTTGTATGTCACATTTGTTGTTTTTTTTCAGAGTGGATAAAATCACTCCTGAAATTCTGATTCCATTACTTTCTTATATACAAAAATTTTCTGGTTTGCAATGACTGAAAGGATTATTGTAGAGAGAGAGAAGAATGTGCAAGTTAACTTTTTAATCTTGTTAAAAGCTAATACTGATATATTAGTAGCATTTATTACATTTAAAAAAATAGTTCAAATATATTGTAGTAAGAATCAAATGCAAAAAAATGTATTTTTTTTTCTACCTAGGTCCTATTTGTATGGACAAAGTTCATTATTGTGAGAGATTCATTGAGCTTATGCTAGATCTTGAGGTAAGTTATTAAATTGTTTCAGCCTGTTTCCAGGTGTTCTTTTCTTGGTTTTAAATGCCTGAAGTCATTCTTGCAGCCTTATTCCAATTAGCAGGTGGTTATGCCGTGGTTGTGCATACGGTTGCTTAATAGTGGTTTTCCAGCTGTAAATAGGAGGTTGTAGCACTGCACCCACATTGGGAACGGGCTCATGATGTTTGTAAACTAAATGTAAACTAAATGTTATATTTAGTATCCTAGCTTTCTGTTAGAGAAAGCTAGGATACTAAACTGCTCAGTGAGGAGGTTGTAGCACTGCACCCACATTGGGAATGGGCTCATGATGTTTGTAAACTGTTAGAGGAAGCTAGGATACTAAACTGCTCAGTAAAGAAGACTTTGTTAATTGGACTAGTAGAAATAATTCTGGAAAACGTGACACTTCAGTCTGTTAGGAATAACCCAGGTGTATTCTTCCCAAAGTAAAATAGGTCACTTAGAGTATCTTTTGTGTTGTAGGGTAGTCCCAGAAAAGTGTCAGTAGTTCTGAAATGCTAACTATTTCTATTTTACTAGAATTCATTATTTAGAAGTAACAGTTCTGGTGATCTAGGTTTTTAACAGAATAATAGAGCGAAGCAAGTGTTTGGGAAATTTTTCAGCAGGTGCTGAGAAAGTTAAAACAATTTTAAGCTTCACAGTACCAGAATTAAAAATAAAGACATGAACTTAGAGCTTCTCACAGGAGTAGCCATTTATTTAAAATAATTTCAGATTTAGAAGACATTCTGAAATAAGACAGAGTTTTCTGAGACAGTAAGCACAGGGAACTTTAAAATGTCTTGGTCTTGAACTCATACAGGCTGTGTCCTCTGCTAAATCAATAAGTAGTCTGTGCTTGTAGCTGCAATAGAAAGAATAATTTCAATTAGCGCTTTGTTGTGTTATGGATACAATATCCTCTTATAAGAGAAAATGAGTATTTAAAGTTAAAATTAAGTCCAGCTGTTAGCCCAGATGCTCAGGGACAGTATATTTATTGTTGGTTCTTGTAGGTATTGCAGGAAGATTAGAATTCAGACAGTTTATGAAGCCTGTTTAAATGACTAGAACATGCAAATGAGAAGGTAGCTGTAAATCCAAGTCTTTCTGCCTCTGTAGCATGTACTTTTCTAATGGGCTTTCTTTACCTATATTGGGACCTTTTTCAGAATATTTATTTCATATAATATAGACTTCCATCAAAACTTGGTGATTTGATAATTGGAAAGGAATGACTCCATGGAAAGTTCTTACAGTTTTCAGAGTTTGTTTTTTGTAATTATTGTGTAGGGCAATTAACATTTTCTACTACAGATTATTTTCTTCATCTTAGTTCTAAACCCCCTATTGATGCTTTTTGGCTTTCTGAATTCAGTCTGTAGATTCCATCCAGAACAACTAATTTTTCTCTTGAATTGTTGAGGTGTACTACTGTATGTTGTTGAACAGTTGCTCCATACAGCAGCTTAGGCTATTTAAATGAGAATAAATTATCTTTGGTTTTGTTTACAAAAAGCTTTTATAGGTTTTTGATTAAGATTTGAAAAATTCTGAGATCTAATTTGAGTATCTTAAAAAGAACAGAAGATACCATACCATGTTTAAAAAAAACACAGTTTGCACTCTTGAGAAAGACAAGCTTAAAATTAATGAAATGAGTGTGGAAAACAAACATTTAAAACATATTGCAGCAGTTTAACAAATCTTTTGTAACACGCAGTCGTTATCTAGACGCTTAGTAGTGGAACAGTTGCTTTTCATTTACTTTTGTTACTGGCAGGGTGCAATCTCACTAATGACAAGTTTGTCATTAGTGAGATTGCAGTCTCACTGCTCCCAGTCCTATGAAAGGCTATGTTTGTAGCAGCCTACCTGCATAAAACCAGTGTCTTGGCATTCATAGATGCTACTTCGATACAAGAACCTGTGTTAGGGTATTAGATATGTAAATATCTGTGCAGCAATCTATCTTGATAAGCCTTCTTGAAATGGAAAATTATGAGAAACCAGGTTTCCTTACATTTTTGAAGAATTGCTTGTACTAACGTGAGGTTGTTTACCACAGGCTTTGCTTCCCACACGGCGCTGGTTTAATACAGTGTTGGATGACTCCCATCTTGTTGTTCACTGTTACCTGTCCAATCTTGCTAAAAGAGAGAAGGAGGGTCATCTCTTCTGCCAGGTGCGATATCACCTTGTTGAAAATAACTTTTCCATTCTGATGCGGCTCTGAATGCTGCAATTGTTTTGGTTTATGTTTGTTAAGGCAGGTTTTTATGAGTGTTTCTAATGGATGCAAACTACATGTTTATTTAAATCCTTCAGACCATAGTTCTTTCTTACCTGTACCTATCTGTGTGACTGCTCCTACATTTCTGGCTCTATTTTTGAACAGTTCTTAAAAGTCTACCTAGAAAACACTGCAGCTTCTGCTTTACCCCCCATATAGCAGAAGTTGTCACCAGTGCATTCTTCGGTGCTTCTTTTTGACCTCAGACTGTTCTACAGTGCAGCTGTTTTTCACTACTGTCCTTCAGTTTACTCAGTCATAGACAGTATATTGGTTTTTATGTCAGGATCTGAAGAGCCCTCCCCTTTCCTGCATCTCACCTGCTTTTCCTACTGCTTGCTGTCCCCCATCTCTGGCATTTGTTCAGTTTCTCTGGCGGTCAGTATTGATGGAAGACAAAGCCAGCAGCACATCTGAGTAATTTTCTTAGCTTCTGAGTTAAATAATCTTATTGAAAGATAGCATGAATTGCAGAGCTGGCATCAGAGAGGGCAGGAGGGAGCAAGACCTCCCCCTTTTGGTAGCAGCAACCCATAAGTTGGGTTCAGTGTCTCAATGAACCTCTGGGTAGGTCACCTTAGTGCAATTGTCACAGAATCACAGAATGTCAGGGATTGGAAGGGACCTCAAAAGATCATCTAGTCCAATCCCCCTGCCGAAGCAGGAACACCTAGAGGAGATCACACAGGAAGGCGTCCAGGCGGGTCTTGAATGTCTCCAGAGAAGGAGACTCCACAACTTCCCTGGGCAGCCTGTTCCAGTGCTCTGTCACCCTCACTGTAAAGAAGTTCCTTTTGAAATTTAAGTGGAACCTCCTGTGTTCCAGCTCACACCCATTGCCCTTTGTCCTACCATTGGGCATCACTGAGAAGAGCCTGGCTCCATTCTCGTGACATTTGCCCTTAACATATTTATAAACATTAATGAGGTCTCCCCTCAGTCTCCTCCAAGCTAAAGAGACCCAGCTCCCTCAGCCTTTCCTCATAAGGGAGATGCTCCACTCCCTTAATTAGTTTCAGTTTCAAGTCCTAGTATGTAAAAGAAACCATATTGGTTTTGGGCTATGCTGTAATTTCTATGACTTGTTGATGAGGTACCCAAACAAAATTATTTTGTGCCTCAGACAAGTATAAAATTTAGATACCACCCCTTAGACCATTTCTTCAGGAACTTTGAGGAGCTCTTGTTTTTACCTGGTGCCCAGAATTGTCCTCTTGAACTGTCTTTTTGTTTGTGGTAGGGTGTCTCTTCCTGTTAATCCACTAATTTATATGCATGATGTCTCAGCTTTTAGATATGCTTAAATTCTACACTGGGTTTGAAATCAATGATCAGACTGGAAATGCTTTGACAGAGAATGAGATGACAACAATTCACTATGACAGAATTACATCTTTACAGGTAGGCAGATTGTGAAGTGCTTACGGGAGGGAAAGGATTTGGTTTTGCTGTTTTAATCTAATTTGCCTCTAAAATAGGCATTAAGTTATCTCCCAAAGCAAACTCCTTATTTTTCCTGTTGAGTTCCAGGAATAGTTTTGACTTGATTATCTATAGTAAATATTGAAGACACTGACACTTCAGTGTTATGTATGTGACTACGGCTGAATAATATGCTGTAGCAGAACACCGCTACTTTTGATTTGATTCTTTCAAGTTGAGATGAACTGCTCCTGTTAAAACTATTCAGCAGAGAAAATTAAGTGCTGTAGGAAGTTAACTTACGATTATGCAGTAGGTGGCACCATTTCTTCAAGATCAGTACACACGTATGTTAGTCATAGTGATCCCTGTACATAAGAGACAAAATAAAAAGCCACATTGCTTGTAGTCATGTAAAGATAGTGACACTTAAGAATTTTTGCCATCAATTTTAACAACAAAATTCAAGGAAGCGTGGTTAAATTAAGCTTGTTCTTTGTTTTTCTTAGTTGTCTGCAAGGCTACATGTCTGCCCCCTTATGTTTTATTTTAATGACAGAACTAGTGCTGATAGGAGGGTGTATAAAAAAAAAAATCTGTGTCGGAAGCACAGGAGTAACATAAATGGTACTAAGAAAAATGGAGATTTCAACTGGATTTTATTTCTGTCCTGGTAGTGCCCATAGGTTTTTGTGTGTTATGAATCAGAAGCTATGCTTTTGTATAAATATTTAGATTGTTATTAAATTGTTTCCTTGGTATGCTTAAATTAAGTTTTTGGGCCTGGATCTTTTGTAGAGAACAGCATTTGCGCATTTCCCAGAGTTATATGACTTTGCACTCTCAAATGTAGCTGCAGTAGATACTCGTGATTCACTGTTGAAGTGTTTTGGACCCCTTAGGTAAGTTATCAAAATGAAATTTAACATGAAATTGAAATCCTTTGTTCTTGATATGTTTTAATTTAACAAATTTCTGGCCTCTTTCTTTCTGATTTCTCATGTGCCATCTCAGGTCTTTCTGAGTTGTCAGCCTTTGCATCTGCTAAAAGAAGGAGACAGGGGGAGTTTGTAGTAAAGTACTAGAGTTCCAGTATAAGAACAATATATATTTTCCTTCTGTTTCCAGTGAATGTGAGAAAATACTCATTTTCCAGAAAATAGCTAGCTGCAGTAATTGTAGTGGTAATTAACTTGCAGTAGTTAACCTCTAACTTTTTAAATTTAGCTTTTTAAACTCTCTTCTGTACAAAAGCTACAACAGGAGTCATTGAAGTATAAATACAGTACAGTTAATACAGTGGTAAATGCTGTGGTTAAAAGTGTAACAGTCTGTATTTTTCCAAAGGCAGTGTGTGCTCTGTTGTTTGGTTCTGGTTTCAGGTACATGTCTTGAAACAGTAAAAAATACTCACACCTTGCTGTGTTTATTGCAGATGAGTGGTTCAACTTACACCTGTGGCTGAGCACACTGCACCCATGGAAGTGCTCTAGAGCACTTTATAACAATTCCAAAACCAAATATTTTGAATATCTCAAACTTCACTTAAAACAGTGATCTGTAATTGCTGGTCTGTGATGAAAATCATAGTTGGAAATTTTTTTTTAAGCAGGGGGTTTTGGGGGGGCGAAGTTATGGTCAGGGCTGTCTCTCCAGTTTCAGTGTTGGTGAGGCAAGCTATCTGTTTTTCCTTCTGCTGTGCAGCTCCAACGTTCTTCACCGGGTGGCATCACACCTCTGCCTGCTGCCGCCCCTTCCAGAAGGGGGAGACTCCACCTATGAGAAGGAGTTTCTGCTGGAGTTGCTGGTAAAGTTGTAACTGGCATTGCTTGTATTTTTTCATTGCAAACTCAGGGCACAGCTAAATCTAGCAACTACACGGTAGTAAAGTAGCCATGTAGGACCTTTTGCTGAAGCACCTGTGAACTGCAGCAGTGTTACAGTAGTAACCTGCATACTAAGATGGGGTTTAAAACCATATAAATTATTTGAAAATGTTTATTTCTAAATGTAGTTTCCCTGAGAAAACTATTATGTGTGTCTTTGGTGTAATTGTAAAGGTCAATAAGCAGAGTCTTAGCAACAGTTTTGAGTTCTTCTGGAAAAGTTGTTGATCTTTTTGTAGTAACCTGTTTTTACCCTTTAAAAACACGTGCTAAAGTAGATCTAGATGTTCAGTATCTGTTTGGTTCCTCAAGCCTATTTGAAATACTGTTTGATGCACATAATTTTTTTTTAGTATTCATTATATAGCAATATTACAGGAGGCTGCTAATCTGATGTTAGAATGGTATGGCATAGCTGGTTTTTGTCTTTTTCATAGGCTTATTTTGTATCTGTGATTTTTTTTTTTTTTAAATTCTTCATGTAATTTCTTAAGGCTTAGCTGATAGTGATATGGTGCTTATGGATACTGTAGAGAGAGATTTGTTCAGATGACATATAGTACTATTGGATGGACTTTTTTTTTTTTTCTTCCAAAGAGGGAATTAAGACTAGCTGCCACTGAATGAGCAGTGTTAGTTTGGTATTGACCATATGTTTAATAGAAAACAGAATAAATTTTATTTGAGGTTGATTCTCTGCTAAGCCTTGACTCAATATTTTCAGTTCTGTTGTGCCATTTCTGGTCAGCTGAGTAGGCAAATGATTGTTTGACTCTAGTACTATGACGAGTAGTAGGACTATGTGTTTGTTGATCTTATGATGTCATTGTGTGCATTTAGTTATATTTAATTAAAAAAGCAAACCAAAACAAACCCAAAACTTACTAAAAGAGAGAGAGTGGCAAGCGTCCACCAGCAGTCTTATGGATTAATGTGTATGTTTCAAAAATAGCTTTATTGTCCCTTTTTGACTTATGGAAGTTTAAAATATGTTCTTTCTTTAGGTTTCCCGTCACGAGCGACGAATATCTCAAATTCAGCAACTCAACCAGATGCCTCTTTATCCCACAGAGAAGATTATTTGGGATGAAAATATTGTACCAACTGAATATTATTCTGGAGAAGGTATGATTAGTAGTTCAATAAATGCTGAACAGGACAGCAAATGCTGCACAAAAGCAGTTCTACTGTCTATGTTCATCCTCTCTTTGGAACTTATATACAGTACTTTGGTATCTTCCAGTATCTTGAAGTAAGGTCAGCTTTTTTTGAGTTGTGAATTGGGAACTCTGAGGTTAAATTGTTAGCAAATTTATAATGGATTTAAAGATAAATCCAAAAGCCTATGTTTACACAAAGACATTTATTTGCCTCTAATCTGGGTAACAGATGTGCTATGCAACCACCTGTAGCACAGGTAGTTACTGTAAGGGGAAACAGGTTGTAAAATTGCAGCAAAAAAGCTGTTGTCTGTGTGTTGCTCTTAAGTGTGTTCAAGAAAGCCTTTTTAAAAAGGAAGAAAAAGGGCGGTGCTGGGAGGAAATTAACACTGATTGTCTTACACTGATTTCAAGGTAGAAGTGCACACATAGTCACTGAAAGGTAGTGTATGCAATCTAAATTTAGAACCTAGCGTTCTGACTTGATGTGCTCATGACCAAAGAAGCAAACTGCAGGTATTGCGAACAAGGAATTATGTCATTTTAAGCTTTATAGTGAACAATACTTGTATTTTTGTCTGGCTACTTTAAAAAAACTGTTGTGCTTCTTAAAATCTCGTGCAGAAAATTTTTAATGTGGGTTCATGAGAATTTTCATTAGGAATGTGAAATTTTTAATTGGAACATGGAAATTCCAAATAACAACATATATCTTCAAAGACTAGTATCAAGTATGTTTCTGGTTTGAGCAATGAGTATTCTGTACCCTCCTCCATACAGTTTTGATTCAGAGGTTTTTTTGTGTAAGTATAAGCCTTAAATTCAGCTGCTTAATGAAAGTTAAATTCTCTGTGAACAAGTATTAATGAGAAGAAAGATATTTTTTAAAATTTGACCACTTTAGATAAAGCAGGGTTATAGGCAAAAGATGTTCTCTTTCCAAACAGGTGTGATACAAATGCCATCTAGAGATCTGCCCAAGAAGAGCTAAAGTACTTATGTTTAGTATGATGCAAGCAGTTGAAAGCTGATTCAGATTCTTCTGAATAATAGGTCTCATGATGGGAGTTTATCCACAAAATCAACAACAAAAAAAAGCCCACCAGACAAAAAAAAAAAATAAAAAAAGAGAAACCAAAACAAAGCACGAAAACCCAAACCAGGATGATTGCTGTAATTTCTAGGAAATTAATATATGAACCAAGATTTTAAAAAATTTTATTCCAGTGAACAACATACAGGTTGTTCTAATGCTCTGGAACATCTGGGTTCTTCAATACAAGTCGAGGTAGCTTTAGTGTCCAGACTGTATTGAAAGGCTGACTGTGTGCAGGACTTACCTTGTCCTTTTTGTGTTTTATTAGCCAAATGTATTCATCATAATTTATGTGTTATTGCTGGGGCGGGGAAGAAAGAGTAGTTCATTACACGTGTTTCTGTGCTGTTTTGTGAATTTTTAATAATGCATTAAAGAAATTTTCTTAATAGTGAAATGTAATTTTGGCAAGTAACATTGATTGCTAGTGGAAACATTTCCTCCTTCTGTGGTAAACTCTTGCTATTATTATCCGTGTATTGACACCACTGTTGTGAAGCATTTCTGTTGCCATCGAACTGTTAGAAGTATTTTTCTATTTTGATTCTCTTATTTTCAGTTTACACTTTCTCTTTTTAATCTCCCTCTATTGTCCAGCCCTGATTTCAAATAAGACAGTTTTGGTTTAGTTGTCTTGGGGTTTTTTTTGTGTTCTTAAAAGTAGCTACATTCTTTTGGTCTAAAACTTAAATAAGAGTAATTTAGTCCAAGAAAGATAGGAGTATTGTTTCTATTTTCTTTTAAAGAATGAGAGAAGAAGAATAGATCTGTGTGGTAAGTGCTGTGCAGCCTTAAAGAGGTGTTGTTTCAGGCCCTGCCCTTTGTGCATAGAACTGTCTTTACAGGACAAGGTTTGTTACTTGGTGTTGGGAAATGTGTTAAAGTATTTTATCACCATGACAGATTCCAGAGTAGAAATTACTGTGTTCTGTCACCTTTCTTCACTGCCATTGTATCTCGGTGCATGTGAAAGCCAATATGTAGTACATATACCAGTGAAAGGTTTCAAGGATAATATTATGAGTTACAAAAGCCTGATGCTTTCACAGGTCTTAAGCATAGGTGTTAAAGTGGAACATTAGTCCAGTAATGTTAAATAAGTAACATATAAGCAGTTTTGTTATGGAAAATTTGTGTTTAAGACTACCCTAAAGCTATGCAAGCTCTAGGACCTCTCTAGGAGTTTTAATACTCCTTGTTCAGTTAGATCTAATCTTCTGAAGTTTTTCATTCTCATTAAAAAAAAAAAACAAAAAAAAAAAACAAACTATAATCAGTAACAGAAACTTCTAAGAAAGTTGTGTATTAAAATTTGGTATCTTGGCTTAAAACTTTTTTCTATATTAAGAATTCTTGTAACTTCTAATAAACTTAAAGGATTGAGGAATTGCTGGATAACTTTTTTTATTAGCTAATGAGCCTTTTTCATCTTTATTTAAGGATGGTTTAATTCTTGAATTACCAAAGTACCTTTACGTTGCCCTGCATTTGATTTTTATAAAATCAGTTCTGTTGAAGTCTGAATACAGGGAAGGATTCAGTCTTTTTATAGTTCACTGTATTACTGCCAGAAGGATGAAAATTCTTTTAATCTTGTGCAGGTTCAATTAGAGAGAACCTCAAAATTTGGGGGAAGAAGGGAGAAAAATGTGTACTTTTTAGTGATGGATGTTTATAAAAGGATTAGTTCTTAGAATCTCCCAAGATAACACCTGTGGCAGTTATAGAATAATGTGTGTATGTATTTATGAATTCATAGAACCAATATATTAATTCATCTTTTTGTTTATCCATCAAACACCTCTTCCCTTCCACCCTTAGGCTGCCTTGCACTTCCCAAATTGAATCTACAGTTTCTGACTCTTCATGACTACCTGCTGAGGAACTTCAATCTCTTCCGCTTAGAGTCTACCTACGAGATCAGACAGGACATTGAAGATAGTGTCAGTAGGATGAAACCATGGTAAAATTTATTAACTGATGCAAACCAGTCAGTTCAACTTCAATTGTAATCAAAGTGCATTTGAGAATGAATTACTGATATTGTGTCTATACTAAATACATGGTAACAAATGTATTTTCAGTTATTACATAGATACAAAATCATCCCACAGGATGCAACACATCATGGAAGAAGTTAGTATAAAACATTGTAAGGGTATGTTGATATATAGCACTGTTGATGTGTTAAGACAGTATGTTGGATGCTAACAACCAACCTTTATTGTGTTAAGACAGATGAGTTTTCCAAAAGTGCTAAGCCTTGATTGACATTACAAAATCTGGGAACTTTACCCCCAACTCTTCAGGTTTATGAGAGATGTTATTGAGTATTCTTTGATTTGCCATCTGCCACATTTTGATCCTCTTTAGATTTAAAAGGGTCATTTGGTGTGGTATCTCTTAGACTCAGTAGTTGCTTTTTGTTATCTTCCCTTTTTCTTCTCTTGAGTGTTTTCTTTTTTTTTCATAATGCCAGCCTAAGTTGCCTTTGTTTCTCGAAATACAAGAATAAATCAGTCTATGTTATGCTTCAGTTCTAAAATTGCAGGATTATGTGAATCTACTTTAGTAGCTTATAAAATTAAGACTTCTGCTTTTGTCTTAGAGCTGACTGTGAGGTAAATTGTTTCTTAGTTTAAAAAAGAACTGAATCTCTTGTCAGATAATGACTAACAGACTTTGTTGTTTGGGATTTTTTTGTTGTTGTTTTTTGTAGGTTATCAGAATATGGAGGTGTGGTCTTTGGTGGATGGGCTAGGATGGCACAACCCATTGTCTCTTTCACAGTGGTGGAGGTAGCAAAACCCAATATTGGTGAAAACTGGCCCATGCGAGTACGAGCAGATGTTACAATTAATTTGAATGTCCGAGATAACATCAAAGATGAATGGGAAGGTACTTACATTACTTGAAATAAGGTGCTCAAAATAGCTGCTCATCAAAATACACTTTCATGTGATGTTATTTGTAAGAAAGGTTTTTTTTTATCCGAGATACAGATTTGCAAATCTTAATACACTGTTTAAAAGTCAGTTACTCAAATTCCACGTCTAAGAAGTTTATAATTTCTTAAAATGAAGACTAAAATTATTAAAGTATTTACACGTCCATTGGGAACAGAATGTTTTCTATTTCAGACTGATGTAATTCAGTTTGTAACTGTAAAATTCTGCTCTTTACAGGGAATGTGGAAAGTAACTTAGCATTTTAAATGAATATGCATGCTAATAATGTCATACTGTAAAAGTCTTGGGGAGTGTGATATCCATCTCATATACATGTGGAGAGGACAGATTTTGATTTAATTCAAACCAGTGCATTTTAGTAGTTTTCAGTGTATCTAAGTGTTGTTAGGAAATGCTGACTGTACCTAATACTGTTTCTCATAAGTATCCACAGGCGACAGTTCTTTTGCTTGGGGAATTGAACTTTAGTTGACCGTGTTGGCAAGTGGCATAGAAGCATGTATTTGTACTTGGATTATCAGTAAATGTCACTCCCTTCTCTTTTGTTAGAGAAACCTGTTAACTGTGCTGGAGCTGCATAGTGTGATTGCAGGTCACATATCACAAATGCTAAAGCTGGATTGTGTGATAATTAAGCAGACAGAAGTTTGGGAGTGTAGATTTCTATTAAAGTAGAAAAGCTAGGAGGATGGCAGCAGACTTCACCATACTGAAGGTAGCTATAAGTGGTGCACCTAACTTTTAAATACTAGAACAGCCTCTATGATTTCAAAAGCACTAATGCTTTATCTTAATCAAAACTGAGGTGAAGAACTGATGAATCATTGCCTGACATAAGAGGGTCTTGATGAAAATGCTTTAGGTTGGATAAAATCTGGTGAGTAGTGAGAAATGATTTGTCTCGTATGTAAAATACAGCATATGTTTACTAAATTTTGAAGATGTCTCAGATCTGTGAGAATCTGTAGGTATACTGGAGAAAAGGATTAGTGTTCAAAATTACATTAGTGGATTGGAGAAATTGCATTTTAAAAGTAGGGTGTAATTTAACAGGGATGAATATTAAGATACTAAACTTAAGCAGGAACAAGTCACTGCACAAATGCATGTTGGGGGAATAACTTGTTAGGCAGTAACTGCAGAGTTAAGAGAGCTCAAGGTCATCATCGCTCAAAAGCAAATGTGACTCCACAACAATATGTTACTACTGAGGCAAAAAGAAAAACACTCAACGAAGTCCTATTGGGATTTATAAACTGGAATGTAGCATGTAAAACAAGTAACTTGGTTAAGTGACCTTTTACCCTATTAAGCAGAGAGCTCAAGTAACTTTGTTCAGGATTGTGTGCTGGGTTCCAGGCACTGCATTTAAATTGCTGTTTTAAAAAAAAAAAAAGAGTTTAGTCCAGAAGAAAGTAATTCGAATAAGAGATTAGCAACACACTACTTTTGAGTAAGACTGAAAATATCTAGGTTGTATTACCTATGTAACATTATTGGGAGAAGAATAAACTCAAATAAGTGTTGTAATGAAAAAAGCAGTCACTTTGTCCTTTTGATATCCAAAGCCCTATCAGATATTAGTGTGCAAGAATAGTGGAAAAGATGACAATATCTTTTAGTTCTATAACCTCTAAGCTAAAGGCATATTTTGAAACAGAACACTTTATTCTCTAAATAAGGTAGGGTTTTATTGGAAAATATATTTTTGTGTATTCCATTGTGTATATATTAAGGAATGGAAAAGGAAAATGGAATTCAATCAGATCACTGAATGTTCCTTTTCGGAATCAGGTCTGCGTAAACATGATGTCTGCTTTTTGATTACGGTGCGTCCCACGCAACCTTATGGCACCAAGTTTGACCGACGACGACCTTTTGTTGAGCAGACTGGCCTGGTGTATGTCAGGGGCTGTGAAATCCAGGGCATGTTGGATGAGAAAGGACGTGTTATTGAAGAAGGTATGATATACCAAAACTTGTTTAAATGAATTATTGGTTTATTTTTCACCACCACTCCGCCCCCTTTTTTTTAATAACAGCCTAATAGTTGACTTGATTCTCATTTTAAGCAATGCTTGTTGAATTCATTACCTACTTGAAAAAACAAACCAATTCCATAAGCAGTCCTGAGAAAGGCTAACTAATTTCCTCTGGTAGATCTGATGTAATTAGATTAATTAAATAAATCCAGTACCTCTTGGTTTTTGGAATAAAATAGCTTATATTCAAAACTCTGTTAGAAATGAGATGAAAACAAGAAATAAGAATGCCATGCGGAAATTAGTTTCATCATATGAATTTGTCTAAATTTCATTTCAGAAACAACTGTGGATCACTATTTTGAATGATAATATGCCTTTAGCAGTACTTCAAATTCTAATCTTACTGTTTCATTACGGGCAGGACCTGAACCCAAACCAAGACTTAAAGGGGATTGCAGAACATACAGAGTGTTTCTGGACCCAAACCAGTATCAACAAGACATGACCAATACAATCCAAAATGGAGCAGAAGATGTTTATGAGACATTTAATATAATAATGAGAAGAAAACCAAAAGAAAACAACTTCAAGGTAAGGTACTGCTTACTGACTCTTAGGGTAAGAGTTTGTTTGAATATGCCAGCTGTACTGAGATGTGTTTGTTTTAGGTGCCCGTGGACAGACTTTTTAGGTGGCATTGGATCACTTCAGGAAGTTAGAGCCTGTCAGCTGATGATAACTTCCCCCTGCAGCTAAGTGTTGGAGTAACTGAAAATCAGAACATTCCTACTTCACTTGAGTATATTTAGAAATTCAGTCTTTTAACAGATAGCCTCCAGATTAGTTGTATTTGGCCTTTTGGGTCAAGGGAGTACATTGCAGAGCATGGATCTTTGGCATTTTACTTCCTTGGGTATTCATTGTCAAGAGAGTCTTCAGGGAATTTGGTCAGAGTTCAAAGTAAACCTGTCACTAATGCATTACAGTACAGTATGTTGCCTGTAAGTAAGATTAAAATTATGCACACAACTTCAGTTCAGTTTTGCATGTAAATTCAGCAAATGTTTTTCAGGAAGCTTATCAATAACTTAGCTTTCCTTATCCTCTCTTTAAGCAAGAAGAGGAAGGTTTTCCAGCAAAGTCGAAATATATATGTGAGTTTCTAGAATTATGAATTGACATAAATTTAACTTTGACCAAGTGGTTCTGTGTTGCCCATAGTAAACTTTTTTGATCAGGTGGCATAATTAAAGAATCATAGAATCATTTAGGTTGCAAGGCAGCTCTGGACATTATCTAGTCCAAGCTCCCTGCTCAGGCAGGGTCACCTGCAGCAGACTGTCCAGGAGCATGTCTAATTGGGATTTGAATATCTCCAAGAATTAAAAATAGAGAACTTCTCTGGGCAACTGTCTTCTAAAGCTGAATTGCCCTCACAGTAAAAAAAGTCTTTTCTTGTGTTCAGATAGAATTTAATGTGTTTCAGTTTGTGCCGACTGTCTCCTTTCCTGTCTCTGGACACTACGGAAAAGAGTCTGGCTCCCTTATCTTCATTTCCTCCTATCAGGTGTTTATCACACTGATACAATAGCCCCTCAACCATCTCTTTTTCCAGGATGAACACTCCCAGCTCTCTCATCCTCTCCTCATGTAAACAATGCTTCAGTCTGTTAATCATCTTTGTGGCCCTGCACTGGACTCACTCCAGTAACTCCGTAATCTCTTTTTTTACTGAGAAGCCCAGAACTGAACAGAGATTCGGGGATGGGATGCCATTCAGAGGGTTGTGGACAAGCTTGAGAAGTGGGCCCATGTGAGCCTCATGAGGTTCAACAAGGCCAAGTGCAATGTCCTGCACCTGGGTCAGGGCAAGCCCTGCTATCAAGACAGGCTGGGGAATGAAGGGATTGGGAGCAGCCCTGTGGAGGAGGACTTGGGGGTACCAGTGGATGAAAAACTGGATATGAGCCAGCTATGAGCACTTGCAGCCCAGAAGGCCAACTGTATCCTGGGCTGCATCAAAAGAAGCGTGGCCAGCGGGTCAAGGGAGGTGATTCTGCCCCTCTGATCTGCTCTGATGAGACCCCACCTGGAGTACAATGTCCAGCTCTGGAGTCCTCAGCACAGGAAAGACATGGACCTGTTGGAGCGGGTCCCGAGGAGGGTCACAAAAATGACCAGAGGGCTGGAGCAGCTCTGCTATAAAGAAAGGCTGAGAGTTGGGGTTGTTCAGGCTGGAGAAAAGAAGGCTCTGGTGAGACCTTATTGTGGCCTTTCAGTACTCAAAGGGGACTTAGAGGAAAGTTGAGGACAGACTTTTTAGTAGGGCCTGTAGCAACAGGACAAGGGGTAACAGTTTTAAACTAAAAGAGGGTAGGTTTAGACTAGGTATAAGGAGGAAATCTTTTACACTGAGGGTGGTGAAACACTGGCACAGGTTACCCAGGTGGTAGAAGCCCCGTCCCTGGAAACATTCAAGGTCAGATTGGATGGGGCTCTGAGCAACAAGATCTGGTGGAATATGTCCCTGCTCATTGCAGGGGGGGTTGGACTAGATGATCTTTAAAGGTCCCTTCCAACCCAAACTATTCTATGATTTAGCCTCAGCAGTGCTGAGTAGAGGAAGGAGCACCTCCCTTGACCTTCTGGCAACTTCTTAATGCAGCACAAGATACTGTTGGCCTTTTTTGCTGTGAGGGTGCATAATTTTGTATACCTGAAAATATTTCTTACATGCATGCTCAGTTTCCTTGCTTTTCATTTAGACATTTAAATCTTTAATGTTCCTTGGGTTTTCCATTATGAAAATGCAACATGAATGAAAAAGTGCCTTCCTTTTGGTGTCTTAAAATCATACATTGCATAATTTAAGTGATTTTCATTTTGAAGGATTCTGCAGCAAGTTCTGTGCAGATGGATAAAGAGGAAGGCAGGAAGACTTTGACTTTTTATTTTCTGTGTCTGGAAAGATACCTCTGTTGAGAAACAGTACCTTGTGGTCTGCACACAGCATTCTGGTGCCATCCACCTCTGGATTGGTATACTGGAAGTACTTCATAGAGAGTCCTTCATAACATTATATTTAAAAAAAACCCCCAGAACTGATTGTTCATGTTGTGTGTCTGTGGCAGGTTCATTTTACATTATAAGCACAGGTGCTGTCTGCCAAAGCCTGTTGGTGTGCCAGCACTATACACATGGTTTTTATTCGCATACGCACCTTTGTGTAGTCAGAAGGAAAGTGCTGCAATGAATACCTAAGTTTGCTCAGAAATTCTGTTACACGTAAGTGGAGCTTTCAGATTTGTACTGTGTACATGCAGCTAATTTACAGACAGGCAAACCACAATGCAAACCATTCTATTATGGTTTTTACTTCAGTCTCATACATTCCTTTGTCAAGACAAACTGAGATATTTCCAGATTTATCACATTGCTACCAGTTTGGGTGCAAGCATTCCATGTCATGTGTAAGCCTTTCTAACCTGAGCTGGGTAGAAGAAAACAAGGTATCACTGTGATTAGTGTTGATAGTGTGTTGAGCAGATAGAAGGCAGCTTGAAGTTTTAAGCTGAGCTTGTAGGAGAGAAGACAAGAACACTTGTGCCGTTGTAGTAAATTAAGCAGCTGTGACAGCAGTGGAACTGCAAACACAATGTGTTTGCTAGAGGTGGCACCACTGCGTCACTACAGTTGGTCAGCAGTGTTAGTTCTTACAAGACCTAATCTTACTATTTTTGCATGTACAGAAGTTACTTTTGAAAAGCTGAATAAAAGTTTTAGTGATGTCAAAACAGCACATTAGTTACGAGGGACATATTTCTTAAACTTTCCTCTGAGAAATTGGGTCATCTAGATTTAGAGATACGACCTGAAGAAGCCACAGTTTCCGATTTGTTTGTGCTTTTCTTAGCACAAATATGCCATGCTTAATATACGTTTAAGCCAGAAACGTTTGTTCTACATTTGCAACAAAAATATAAATATTCTTAGTTCATATGGAACTTGTCCATCAGTATATACTGGGCTCTGAAGTAACTGCAGGAGCTTCAGGCTTCAGAAGCTAAACGCAGGACCTCTCTGGTCCTGCAGCTCACATACTAAAATGTTCGTAAGACCAAGAACAAGAAGAAATACACAACGTGTATTGGAGATCCAAAGGGAGAGGATGTTTCTGGAGTGGTTTGTAGGCATCAGGTAAGATCCTTTGAAGCATCTCATTTATTATAAAATAAGGCTGAACTGAGAGTATACTTTGTGTCAGTGATATTTGATAATGCTAGCTGTGTTATCTCATGCAGGTTCAGTTCTTCCCACAGCTGGGAATTTGACTATCCAGAGGTTCCTGTACAAGGACAGACCTGCTATGACATGTTTCCTTGGTATGAGAATTAAATTTGAAATATAGGAGCCATTTTGCTGGTAGACAATCAAGCAACCTTTTTAGATGAGGAAAGGATGGAGTGTATAACAATATCAGTCTTAAATTTTATAGTGCTAAGTTGTCTTAAAGTTAATAACTTTACAGAGCTGTCACAGAATCTATAGCATGGTTGAGATTGGAAGGAGCTGAATCACAGAATGGTTGAGGTTGGAGGGACCTCTGGATGTGATCTTGTCCAAGTTCTGCTTAAAGCAGAATCAATGAGAGCAAGTTGCTCAAGATCTTGTGACTTTGTACAGTTGGAATTGGGTGTCTCCAGTGATGGAAACTGCATAACCTGTCTAGACAACCTGTCCCAGTGTTCTGTTACCCATACAGTAAAAACTTTTTAATGTATTTAAGTGGAATTTCCTATATCTCAATTCGTGTCCATTGTTTTTTGTCCTTTCACAGGACACTACTGAGAGGAACTTCCTCCCTTTTTTAATACAAAGTGATAAAAGTCCCCACCACCCCTTGCATCTTCTCTCCTTGAGGCTAAACAATCCCAACTCCCTCAGCCTCTCGTATAACAGATTCTTCAATCCCTTAATCGTTTTAGTGGCCCTTTGCTGGACTCATTCCAGTACATCTGTGTCTGAGGGACCCAGCACTGGACACTGCACTCCAGATATGGTCTCAACCATGCTGAGTAGAGGGGAAGAATCAGAACCTTTATAGAGGTCAACTGTTTAAGCAGTAATGATGACCACGTTACTTTGATTCCTGAAATGATACAACACAAGCAGGAAAAAGGCAGAGAATTCTACCTTTTAGAGCTGGATATGTAAATTTAGACTATCGGAATAAAATTCCATACTTTGTTTTGGCCAACTATTCTTTACAAGATCAGCATTTGAAAGATCTGTATTGCATCCTGGTGTGGACTGCGGGTGCACTATGTTTGTGCCCGTGTTTGTTGGTGTGGTAAGTTGTAGGATATGGAAATCAGCGCAGGTTTCACATCCTGTGTTTCTTCTGCTGAAGAACAGATGCATAACTGCCTAATACCAAGTTTCAGGTAAGGTCGTTGTTGAAGACTTGCCACTAACATAGACCTTCGGCAGGAAGACTAAAGTTCAGCTACCCCTTAGTTAAAATATGTACCCTCTGTGCAAGTCCACAGTCCACAGCATTGGTGCTTTCATGGGATGGGGAAAGTAGAGAAAATACTGACATAACCACAGATGAGTAGAGAAATTAATCTGGGGATGAAGAACAGGCTTTTGGAAGGAAACTTTTGTTGATTGCATGGGTGAAATTTAATAGGCTTGAAGGAGAAACCGTAAGCTGCTTGAGGGTGTTCTTGAATGTAGATTTCTAGTAAGAACTGGATCTAGGTTTTAGGGTGGCTGAAGCATTCATTTGCCATACAGTTGTGGATTACACTAAAGTAAAGAGTAATTGTTTTAAAATACCCTGTGTCTGTAGTCTTCAAAAAGCCTGACATAAGGCTTACCATTTGGTGCTTCCAGAAACTGATAGCTCAATCAGTATCCACAAAGCTGAAATTTTTTAGAAAATGTGTGTGGAAACATGTTGGGGACTCTGTGGAGTCATCAGTCTTGTTGGTTTAGTGGATTTAAGTGGGGAAAGAAAGCATTGAGAAGCAAGGAAGGTGCACTCTGAAGATTGTACATAGAAACCCAGTGTGTGCCAGGACTATAACCATGCAGAAGTTTTAGTGCATTTTTGGTATAAACAGCATGACTTTATCAAAGTCCTGGAGAAGGAACTCAAGCAGAAATATGTGTAGCTATTGATAAAATGTGAATTGTTCACTCATTGTAAAACCAGGATGATAAGCTAGGGCCATGGCAGACACTTATATTTTGTTTATAGGTCATTTTGAACTATGCCTTTTTTTTTCCCCTCCTCTGAATGTTCTGGAATTAAAAATTTACTGATAATTGTAGTCCTCTTTACTAACAGGATAGTTTAAGAATTATGTGGTTTTACACTGGTGTTTTGTTGCATATATACACTGCATATATATTGACTCAACCTAACCAAACACTTGTCACTTAAAGACTGTTACATGCAAGCATCTTAGAATAGACCTGAATAGTCTTCAGTATGTCACATTTTCTTGGTAAAAAGTCACTCTCTACAATCATTTTTTTTTTTTTCTCTTTTTCTAATTTGCAGGCTGTTCTGGAGACTATTAGGAATTTGATGAACACAGACTGTGTGGTTCCTGACTGGCTGCATGACATCATTCTCGGATATGGAGACCCAAGTAGTGCACATTATTCAAAAATGCCAAATCAGATTGCAACTCTGGATTTTAATGACACGTTCCTGTCCATTGATCACTTAAAAGCCAGCTTTCCTGGATACAATATTAAAGTGACTGTTGATGATCCAGTTTTGCAAATACCCCCCTTCAGGTGATTGAAAAATTTAAAGTACTCCTGGTCTGGCATTCTTGCTGAAGTGCATTGTCAGGTGCAGTTGAGTTCAGTGGTTGAAGGGAGGTACTCTTTTAAGAAAGGATGTTAATATGTTAGTATTAAGATTTAGGTAGTTATATAACGGAAGTGACTGCTACAGTTAAGCTCAGGACCAGCTTCTGTTCTGTTCTTTACAAAAATGCATCAGAGCATTGCTTGTAGATCAGACTATTGAATATATGGGAAAAGCAACAGTATGAGACAGACAAAATCAAGACACTTGGTATTCACTTCTGCATTATGGCATCTAGCCTCCTCAAGTTCAACCTAAGGATTTTTAATTGCAGAGTTTCTGTACATGTCTCATTAAAGCGATCTAACAACAGCAATTTCAACATCAGTTAAAATTTGAGCTTTTGGAAACACTGTTCAATCACAATTAAGGAGTCTGAAATCCTATATTGCTTACTTACTTTTCAAAATGGTTTCTGAAATAGGATGCCTACCTTTGTGACCACTAAATGAGATTTACATGTTGTGTTTCAGTGGTGCTGTTCAGCATTTTTAGACTTGACAGTTCTGTCCCTCGTGGTGGACCTCTTTGGAGTGTGGCAACTGAGTTTCACAGTGCATAGTGTTGGAGAATAGTTTCTTCAGCTGGACTGAAGAAACTATATCATTTTCCGCTTATAAGTTAAGGAGAACTTAAATACTTTTCCTGAAGGAATAGATTTGACTGGTTAGGGAAAAGTTGGCTTTCCCCCCGCCGCAGTCAGCTCTTATCCTGGCTAAATTGAATCTTGAAAAGCAGGGAGGTAATTTTCCATGCATTATTTGAAACACTGCACGTAGAATATGTATGGAGAAGGCACTGGTTCTACCTAGTGATATGAAAATAGTCTGAAGGTGTCAAGATACCATGCACAATTTCCCTCAATGAACTAGGGTTCTTTTTCAGTTCATAGATTAAAATACAGGTATTCCTCTTGACGAAGAGCTATTCTTCCTCCTGCTGCATTTGTCTTGTAAAGAAACTAAGAGATTATTGCTGTTAAAGATGTCTGCCTTGTTGTCCCAAGATAATTGGATAGCCATTGGAATTCCTGCACTGTGATTTGTTTGTGAATTAAACTAGAGAAGCCTGCTAGTACATGATACAGAGGGCTATAAAATATTGAAATTGGAGGATAAAAGGCTTTGCATGTTGGAGCAGTTTAGAACACTGACGTATCTTGTGGGAGGAAAAAAAGTGTGCATCAGTTCTAGAACAAAATCAAGTTATAACTGCTGAATAGACAGTGCCAGTGGCTTTCTGTTATAACTTTACTCCTGTCCCTTCAATTTTCATTTATGAACTCCCTCCCCTCAGTGTTTTTCTAGCTGGCTCTCAACACTGCTCCTGGTTTTTCAACCTATGTAAAGAGCACTTTTGACATACTTTTTGTCAAATACGCTTTCTTAAAATAGTCTTCATCAATTTAGTTGTCATTACTTTTCCCTATCCTCATTAATACTTTGTCATCTGCAACTCTTGTTTCCCTCTTGTGTGAAAGTTTCTTAATGGTGACAAAAAAATTCTTTCTGTATAAACTTCTAAGACAGTTTGGTATCATAGTGAACATGTTGAAATGTAGCCTTAAATTATGTGTTACAGGATAACTTTCCCAATAAAGGGAGGTAAAGGAAAGAAAAGAAAAGAAGAAGACAGGAATGAAGAAAAACCGGAAGAAGCTAAAACACTTATTGTAGAACCTCATGTCATTCCAAACAGGGGACCATATCCCTATAATCAACCAAAACGGTAAAAAATGGATGAGAACTTACTTACAAATGGTAACCCATGCATAGCAGTTCATTTTCAGAAATACTTAAAAGTAATCTTGTTGATTATAAAGGAAACCTCATTTTGATTTCATTACCAAAAGAAGATTTGAATATGAGACTCTTTAATTTTACATTTATATAAAACTATTCTATTACCCTCTCCCTGTTAAAATTTCCCTTGAAGAACAATGAGAAATACTGTCTTTTAGTGTTGTGTCAGGCCTTCAGATATTAGGAGAATCACACCGAAATAATTTTACAGCATTCTCAGCAAATAATAGCTAAAGACAGACAGTCTTTTAGATGGAATGATTTTGTTGTCATGTGGACAATGTGATCTACTGTCTTGCTTAGAAATTGCAAGATTGTCATGTGTATAAAGAAGATAGTTGCAATGATGGTTTAATTTATATAAAAGTTTGCAAGCATGTGATTCTGGAGAAGCATGTAGCCAAGTAATTTAAATCAAACTTGTTAAAACAATTGCTTTTATCAAAACTTGGCAGAATCTGTCCATTCTCTGATCTTGTTTTGCTTTGTTACAGCAATACTATTCAGTTTACCCATACTCAGATTGAAGCTATACGTGCGGGAATGCAGCCTGGGCTGACTATGGTAAGAAAATTTTTAAGGATTTTATACTTACTTGATTCTGGCTTTAGGTATATTCAGTGCAATACCAGTAATGCTCATTTCTGTGGCCTTCCTGAGGTGACTTCTATTAATAATTTAAAAATATGAAAAATTAACATACAGAGGTTCAACATCTTCCCATCTTCACAAGGTCATATGGAAATACATTTGATCTCCGTATAGCTTTATCCTGTATTTCAGTGGCTGAAGACTTTCCACAACAACTGAATTTCAGTGGTTGGATTGCTAGTTTTTAGACTGTGAAGCTTTTGCCATGTCTGTAATTTTTGGCTGTTTTAAATTATTTGCATCAGTTCTAGTTTGATCTAACTCCTTTAAAGGAAATGAAAGTCACTGAATTGTGTTCAGGGAGTTTTTTTCTGCTGTCTTGTGAAATGTAATGTGCAATCCTTTATATCCTGCTGACTTCTAGAACTAAGAAATCACAAACCAAACCAAAGCTGTAGATTTGTTATGAAAATAGTTTCTGATCAGTGAATTTCTGCAAAGGTCTTTAAGGTTGCCACTCTTGATTAAACTTTGACTGCAAGAACCTGTCTTCCAGTAAAGTCCAGTCTATCCTGGCAGTGACTTGGTAATATTTGAATGACTTTTCTCTGATACTCTTAATTTCTTCTTGGTCTATATAGGCAATAATGCTAATTTTTAGATTTTTATATTGGTATTCATAATCTTCCTCCTCCCTTTCCTCCTTATGTTTTACCACTCCCTGTACTCTGTTGCTAGCACACAAAAGATACATGGCAAAGGAAAAAAAAGAACAGCAGTGGAATTGTGTGCCTCTCGTCCCTGCCTGACTAGCTGTGCTGAAATTATTAAATTAGTAGTGTCATAAAAGTGTATAAAAGTTACCTGAGCTCTTGGCAGTGTTTTTGAGTATGGTATGTTTTCTAGGAGAACACAGCAGAACTTTCTGGTTGCTGACAGAATATCAGTTTTAAGATCTATTTAGAAATTAAAGCTTTTTTTTTTTTTTAGTGCTGTTAAAATGACACAGTGATAGATACTTTAAATTTGGTTATTAAGCAGTGTAGTAAGGGTTTCTTTGGAATTATTTGAACTGCTAGGTTTTACATAATTTTTAATTTAAATTATATATATGTACAAAAATTACATAAATTTAATTTTTTTGTTTAAGAATACCCATGCCAGTGTATAGGAGTATTGTTTTCTTTCAGTAGTATTATCAACAGGAAAGAAAGTTGGGGAGTTAAAATCTTTATTACCATTTTGTAGTATATAATTAACACACAAAATCCTAGAGAGGAGATCTGTAAGTCACCTAGTTTTTGGTTTTGTCTTTTTTTTTAAATAGTATTGCATACTGTTGGTTAGTATAATTTGATATTTGTTGAACTATTAATAACCTTCCAATGCAATTGGATAATGCATTATAAACTCCCCATCTACCTCACTTCTGGAGGGCTTTAAAGAAGAAAAGTAACTTCCTGTGCCTGATACTCCATCAGATTTCCTAAATATTTTGAGAAGATAGTCATTACGTAATTTGAAATTTTCTATGAAAACTACATTTGTTGATTTTTTTTTTTAAGAGGTTAGATAATGAGAGTCTGTCAGGTCAAAAGGAAAAACAATCACAAAGTCAGCTTTTCACTCACTTTTTTGCAGGGACAGAAGGCAGACTGAGCCGATAGAACTTATGCTTTATTTTCTGTCATTATGTAAGGTATTTCTGTTACATATTTTTGAGAAGTACAGCTGTACTTGCTTTTGAATCCAGTTATCAGTGAGATTCTGTAAATAAAGCAAGTGTGATTTCATAGCAATTTGTAATTTTATGTGTAGATACGTATGAAACCTCCTATCCTGTGCTTCTTAATGCTGAACAAATTACTTGGAGATACTTTATAATACTTGAATACCTTTAAAATGTCTCAGATGTCAATTTTTGAGTGGCGCTGTTATAATTGAGCCTATAAAAACATTAACTGTCCTTATTACTTCTATATCATCAATTGTCAATTTTTGAGTAAATAAAAAGATTGGACCCTTTCTTTCTGCCTCAACCTTATTCCTTTTCAGTGCACTGGAACAGGTTGCCCAAAGAAGTTGTGGATGCCCCCTCCCTGGAAGTGTTTAAGGCCAGGCTGGATGAGGCTTTGAGCAACCTGATCTAGTGGAAGGTGTCCCTGCCCATGGCAGGGGGGTTGGAACTAGATGATCTTTAAGGTCCCTTCCAACCCAAACCATTCTATGATTCACTGTTTCCATTATGTTTAGCCTGTCCTGAAACTCAGTAGCCTTTCTTCTGAGGTCTGTTTTCAAAGGCTTCAAAACAGAATAGTGTTTCATATGTTGTATTACCATATTCCTCTTAGGCAGGAATTGGCCTAACTAATCTGAATTAGTCTTTCTTGATATATTGTATTTGTTCTTGAAATTCACAAAAGCCAACAAGTAATTGCTGGATTACCGTATTCCTCTTAGGCAGGAATCTGCCTCAGCATTGGCCTGAGTCTTTCATGGTGTCTGTGCAAGTTCTTAAAATTCACTGAAGCCAGCAAGCAATTGTACATGAAACAGAAGATTTTTTTTGTTATTGATAATGTATGATGTCAGATAATGTATGATGTCAGTGTCTTGTGAGATTGTTCTGCTTTATTCCCAACTGGATATATTTCTGTATTGTGCAATATTCTGATAAATTATGTGTTGATTTTTATTTGGCTTTATTTTGTTTGTTTTTAGGTAGTGGGTCCACCTGGTACTGGAAAAACTGATGTAGCAGTCCAGATAATATCCAATCTTTATCATAATTTCCCAGAACAGCGAACTCTTATAGTTACCCACTCTAATCAGGTAAAGTGTCAGTCATCAAGAACAGCAGATACTGTGATCAGTAGGTTTGGGATTGCAGTTGTCTCTTAACAATGAAAACTTGAGTTGGCTTCTGTGCAGTTTTGCCAGTTTTGTAATGTGAAATTAAATTTTTCAATTTCAGATTTGTAGTTTCAAGGTGTTTATCAGGATTTTTCAATATATTTAACTGGTTGGGAGTAGAAATTAGGAAGTATTTTGAAAAAGTGTCTGTGCAGTTCTTACAGTTGCATGTTCATTCTGCATGCATGCCAGACTTTTGCTAATTTTCTCAGACACTGGTTCCTCTGTGCTTCATGCTTCTAAGGGAAGACATGAAAGGTATCATGGTCTCTTCATCTGAATGCTTGCTTCCCATTAATTAAGGATGGAATCTAGCTGTTAATTCTCAAGCATATATAAAATAATAATAACAATGATAAGTCTTAAAGATTCTTACTCTAAATCTGCATGTGGTTTGGAAGGATTTGTTTGGAAAACAGGGTCATCAATTTCCTGATGTCCCTAATAAACCTATCCTATCTCAGTTATGAGCTATTTCAACTCAATATACCACTTCGAAAACATTTTGTCTTTGTCCATCAAAGCAGGATCAAGCACTTACGCTGTTGATCAAAGAATGTGGCTTCATCTTGGTGAGGAGTTACAACCTGAAATAATACTGTCAAGTCTACAGTGGCTTGCAGGAGAGTAAAAAGTAGTGAAATTGAGAGAAAGGGTTGAGACCATGTCCATTGGGGAGAAAAGAAGGGAAATTTGAGGCAGGTAGGAGACTCTTACCAGACAAGACTTACATAAGAACATTAACTTGAAATTGAACTTCAGGAAATAAACTGTATTTCAACAGGGTTCATTGAACCATTGAACCCTGTACCTCGATGCTCTACTTTACACTTTTGCATGATTTCCAGCTGACTTGAGTACAAGAGGAGGTTGCTCATGTTTATTCTTAGTTTCATAACTTAGTGATCCAGTGCTTACAGACTTACTCCTTTGAAATACACTGAACTGAACAATTGATACTAAGCTGTTAGAGAATTGAAGAGTTTAAGACAGGAGACATGGCACACCTTGAAGTTTAGTTCAGAAAAATTCATTTATCCATATGGAATATAGTCACAGCATCTGCCAGTCAATACCAGATCACACTCTTCTAATGTACAGCAAAAGTTCAGTGGTTTAAAGTAATCTAACAAAATCAGTGTTTGCTAAGCGTGCTTCTTGAGACAGTTCTATAAACTGATAGCTTTATCAACTAAATTAACTGGGTGATTGAATCAAATTTTAAATTTGTTTTAAAATTTTAAAATCAAATTTAATTGTTGTATACAGTATGCAAATACGAGAGCTTTAGTAGGCTAATTTCCCTATTGTCAGGATTAAGAGCTTTAGTTTCAGTATTAACTTAATGTTTGCTTTGGCTTCCATTTATACCAAAACAGGCATAATATCCTAGCTGGTTTACCAGTAATTCTTCAGTTTTCCCCTGTAGGAGCCTCTGAACATGTAAAAGTTACCTTTTCTCCTGTTCTTGTCAATCTTTAGGCCTTGAACCAGCTGTTTGAAAAAATCATGGCTCTAGACATTGATGAGCGCCACCTCCTGCGTCTGGGTCATGGAGAGGAGGAATTGGAGACAGAGAAAGATTTCAGCAGGTGAGAAAGGAGGTGCTAATGATGAACGTGCTTGCATAAACTTCATAGCAAGATGTACGTGTTGAATCCATTCTAACTCCTTTGTAAATGAGCTAGGAGCTGAACTTGACAAGTTGAACCTTTCTCATGTTCTTGAATCCCAGTAATGCAGAGTGCACTTGTTTTCAGTAAAGGGTTAAGTAATTTTGGTTCTTATTCAGTAAAGAAACTGTGTTCTCGTGAGAATCCAAAGGCCGAATGGGCAGTTGCTTGTTCACAGACTCAACTGCTTGAATAATAGTAGTTCATTATATTCTAGGCGCATATGTGTTTTATAGAATTGATCTGTTTTGTGAGAGAAAGTTGAATAATAAAGGTAGGTTTTTACAGTCAGGAATTTTTTGTGCAAATTTGGTATCACTTCTACTGGCATGGTGAATATTGCATACATAAATAGAAACATGGAATTAAGCTTTCTGCTTTTAGTTCTTTAGAATATTGCTTGATTACAAAGTTGCTTATTTCGTCAGTTCACATTTTGAAGAATACATACATAAGGAAAGCTATCAAGTTTATATCAGCACAAAGACTTAGGAACCTGTTCTTGTAAATATTTGTGTGTTCGTTAGATGTTAGTCCAGTTGACGTCAGTAGGATTATACACATTCATAAATGTAAGCGGGGGTATAAGGGTCATGCACTGGAAATAACTGAAGTGTCCAGTACTGGATTATTATAGCAATACTTTGACTTCAAAAGCTGTTTTAAAAATTATATATAGTCACTAGAAGTTACCCACATATGCATAGTTGAGTTCCATTTAGCGAAATAAATACCTTGTGATGTTTTTTAAATTTTAATGCTTTGCCATTTTCAAATGTCACATTATTCCAGAAATTCGATAGTCCAAATCTTAGTGAAATGTTGCCATGGCAGATATTTATTTAGTAATAACCATGGTTTAGTGCTCATCATTAAAAGGAGCTTTCTTTGAGACAATCTACATTGTCTGTTTTCATTCTTTTTCAGGGTAACTCCAGACCTACAGGACTTCACTACAAAGTCCTATAGGCCTGGCAGTTTGGGAGGGTGGGATAAGGGTAGTGGAATATATTTGAAGGTCAGCTGCACTACTATAGAGGAGAAGTTTATTTCCTGTATGCCTTTTCATAGAATCATAGAATGGTTTGGATTGGAAGGGACCTTAAAGATCATCTAGTTCCAATCCCCCTGCCATCAGCCTTTTGTTTGTTTTTAAGTTGCTTCAGAGTTCCTGGTTTTTCTGTGAGACTGCTTTAGAGGACACAATACTGCTTAAGGAATTTCTACTGCTTGGCAAGTTCCTTTTTTGCTCCCTCTGCAGGCACAGTAAAGCGGGACAGGTCATATAGGAACATAAGGTGGAGCAGAGCCGATTAAACTGGTACTGTCACTTAAACACAGAGGGAGTCACAGCTAAAGGACATTTTTGTAGCAATGAACAAATATATAGAAAAGGGCATATGACTTGTGAGAAATAAGAGGACATTGGAAGATTGAGGGGGAAAAAAAGCCCAACTGATTGAAGTCACTTATAACGGATTAGTTTTGCTGAAGAAGAAAAAACAGTATTCCAAAGATCTTAACTGTCATAGTTCCTGAGGAACTTGTTTTTTCCAGTTGTGAACAATATCATATTCAGTTTTGTCTTAGTAAATTCAAATCTCCAGCTTTAACTAGTCTCACCCTTCTAAATAAGACAATAGAACCCATTGTGATTACCAGGGTTTGTTGTTTTGTTGGATTTTTTCTGTGCAGAAAGCATATTTTATTAATAATAACTTTAATAAGAACGTGAAATTTAACCTTTATTCACATTTGAGCTTTTAACTACATATGCATTTTTGAAAGAAAGTATCCTGTTCCTCTCAATTCTTCAGTCTCACCCATTTATACAGCTTTTTAGTTTTTTCTTTTTTAGAAAATGAGATACATTGATTTTTCTTCTTGTACTGCTTCTGGGAGGAGGGGAGTGCATGGATTAAGGAAATCGATTTATAAAGGAAAAAAAATTGGGCTTTAATTAGGTAAGAGGAGAAAGAATGGAAGGAGTAGGTTACAAACTAATCAGTCATAAAAGTTACTCAACAGGCAGCTGTGAGTACAGGACCTCCTTGGGTGGATGCAGACCTGTCTGTTATGGTGGGCTACGCATTATTGCAAGACCTTTTGTATATTGCCAGAGAAAGTCAGCATTATCTTACTGAAACTTCACATAGAGGTTCCCTTTATGATGGTCTGCAGACTTGTATGACTTGCTTGTGTTTCTGTAACATGTAGTGTACCATAGTTTCTGAACAGTATACTGGAAGTAAGGCTTTTCTGCTTTGCAGGTACGTTACGAGAACATTTTACTAACACTGAGAAATCTTTTGTTGAAGTGATAGGATAAAAGGAGTTTTTTCTACAGTAGTGGCTCTTGGATGGCTTTGTAAGTTATTAGTGCTCAAATGCTAGAAATAGTGTGTAGCAAATTCTTGCTTTTTGGAACCTGTTAAGTTGTGGTTTGGTTTTTTTTCTTTTTTTTTTTGCCAGGAGTGTTGTTTTCTTGATGATCTCTCGTTGTGATACTTAGATAAACTAGTTTTGAATTAAGTACAATTAAATAAAAATTATGGTATATTTAATCCCTTTTGTAGGTATGGAAGAGTTAATTATGTGCTGGCTCGAAGACTTGAACTTCTACGAGAAGTTGGGCGATTGCAAGAGAGTCTTGGAGTCCCAGGAGATGTTTCTTACACTTGTGAAACAGCTGGCCACTTTTTCTTATACCAAGTAAGGACTGAAATACTTCTACTGAGATTTTATGACCTCAGTGTGTTACGAAACACTTAGTAAAAATTGGAGTGAATTTTTCAGAATTAAGTCTAAAATAAAATGTATTTTCTTTGGTGGCTCAAAACACAATAACAGCTCAAGCTATAATTGCAACATTGCTTACTTGTATTGCTATTGTTTTAAATCCTGCCTGATGACTTGCCAGTTGGAAGGCTAGCAGTGCTGCTTTTCCTGACCGCTGGCAGAGATTCCAACTTGAAGTTTCACCTTCAGAGAGGAAAAATCTGTGGACTGCTTTACATTTTGGACAAGCATTAGAGCAGCTACTTGATGATCCTGCTAGAAAGCTTTTATGGTGTGAAATTGGATGCATAGTACACAAAATGATTAATTTCTGTATATTGTGTATCCCTCATTTCTCTTCCATGTATTTTTGAGTTATATGGTCTACCTTAACAATTAGTGTGGTTAGGCAGACTTGTAGAATAGTTCTTAGGATCAAATGCATACAGTGTATATGTTTTTACAGAAGTTACTCTGGGCCAGCTGTAATGTGCGCCTAAATATTAAATGGTTGTTAGATGTTGGAGAGTCCTAGGAGCTCTGCTAGAGCTCATCTTGTGGTTCAGTTTCCTCCCAAAGGAATCCAACTTGGTATTTAAGCCAAAGTACTGTAAGTGAAGGTAATCAAGAGATTTACTGCTGTCTTGGGTTTATGTGGCAAGGTTTTGGTAGTGGGAGGCTGCAGGAATGACCTATGTGAGTTGAGGCCAGGAGCTGCTCTGTGCTGGACACAGCCAACTCCAATGGACCCACCACTGGCCAAAGCTGAGCCCATCAGCAGCACTGGTGGTGCCTCTGTGAAAAAATCTTTGAGAAAAGGTCAAAAAACACCGTGGAACAGCTCGGGCAGAGAGGGGAGTATGAGAGACAATCCCACACACCAGGTCAGAAGGAAAAGGGAGGGGCAGGAGGTGCTTCAGGCACCAGAGCAGAGATTCCCCCATAGCTTGTGCAGAGGACTACAATGAAGCAGGTTGTTCCCCTGCAGCCTGTGGAGGACTGTGTCAGTGCAGATGTCCACACTGCAGCCCATGGAGGACCTCATGATGGATCAGGTGGATATGCCCTGAAGGAAGCTGGAGCCTGTGGAAAGCCTATACTGAAGCAGGGCAGAAGTAGGAGGAGGAAGGGATGGCAGACACGGTGTTATGAACTTGAATGACAAGTCCCATTCCTCATGCACTGCTCAGAGTGGGGAGGAGGTGGAAGAGTTGGGAATGAAGGAGTGAAGTTGAACCTGGGAATAAGGAGGGGGTGGAGAAGAAAGGTGATTTTGATTTTTGTCTTTGTTTCTCACCATCCTGCTTTTTTTTTAGTCTTCAGTAAACTAATTTTCATCAAGTCTGTTTTGCTTGTGATAGTACTTGTTAAGTGATCTCCCAGTCTTTATCTCAACCCATAAGCTTTTCCTTTATATTTTCTCCCTCTGTCCTGTGGTGGAGGGGCAGTGAGAGATGCTGTGTGGGAGTCTGGCAGCCAGCCAAGGTCAACCCACCACAGCTTCAAAAATGTCATCCTGATACAAAGTCAAATGCTAATTTAGACTTACCTTGCTTTTGTGGTAACATTTTTTTTAAATACTGTGGATGCAAGACTGCACCTTACCAATGACTTCATGATATAAACATGTCAGTATGACACTTTTGTTTGCCATAGGTAATGTCTCGTTGGGAGGAGTATATCAGCAAAGTGAAAGTTAAAGGTGGAAAATTGCCAGATGTTACCGATGTCTCCAGTTTCTTTCCTTTTCACCAGTATTTTGCAAATGCTCCTCAACCAATTTTCAAAGGCAAATCCTATGAAGAAGATATGGAAATTGCTGAAGGGTGTTTCAGACATATTAAAAAAATATTCACTCAACTTGAGGTAAGACATGTAACTGTTACAGGCAAGTGGATCTGGCTAATCCTGTAAAAAAACTTTACACAGTTCCAGAATTCTCCTTTGCCCTACATCATAGAAGGAGTATATACCTCTAGGCAGCTTCATTAGCTTGCAGGGCATTCAGGTGAGAATTCCTACCTGTGAGGAATATAGACATGTTTCACAGTAGGGACAAGGGTCTAATCTGTTTTACTTTGGTCTTAGGAAGCAGCCATTCTGCGTGTTCTGTTTTCACTGATTAGGTTACTAGGGTTGATGCACCTATCGCTGATCCTCACAAGGTCTTTGCATTTACAGTGAATTGTCTTTAATCAGATAACCTAGAAGTAACTTAAACAGCTTATCTTCTATTTTTCCCAGAATTGTTAGAAAGGCTTTTAAAAGTTAGGGTAAAGGTGATCTGGGTATCATTTAGTCATATTAATTGTATTAGTCTTTTTAATACTGAATTTGATGTGATGTTATGATGCAGGAAAGTAGGAAACAAGGAGATACAGTAAAACAGAACTTTAGGGCATTCCGAGAAGGTTCGTCAGAATAAATTTGCAGGCAGTTATTCAATTGATATATGCACACATGTTGCAGAATTCTTGGATGTGTTTTTAAAAGATTATTTTTTTAAATACTTTGTTTCCAGGTCTAGCATAAGAAGTTATTTGGATGGGAATGTTAACAGTAGATACCTTCATGACTCACTTGCCTAATTATGTGAAGAATGTGGCCAAATTGTTTGAGTTAATACATTTTATAAGCAATAACTTTTTTTTGTATTCTGACTTCTGAGATTTTCTTTTCTCCTCCATAGGAATTCAGAGCATTTGAACTTCTCCGCAGTGGCCTGGATAGATCCAAATACCTGTTGGTGAAAGAAGCAAAAATCATTGCCATGACTTGTACTCATGCTGCTCTGAAACGACATGACCTGGTTGAATTATGTTTCAAAGTAATGATTATACTACCATTACTACATTAATAGTTTTTTGGGTTTAGGTGCTTTTTTTTCCTCCCTTTTATAAACTTTTATATCTATCCTAAATCTGAGCAACTAGATTATTTTGAGTTGCATTTTTTTACCAGTATGTTTTGAATTGTAATTTTACTGAAGAAAAATTTAACTTCTGTAAGTAAAAGATGAAGTCACTTTAGTGTATACAGAAATGCTTTAATAGTGTATGTCTATCAAAAAAGTTAGTTTTGCTATATTAGATGATTAACTGCAGTGATATGATTAAGTAATAAAATAAAGGCAGATTTGGGGGGAAAAAAACCCAAAACCATGGCCTTTGTAACTCTGTTTACCTAAAAAATGACCAATTTGAGGAAAAAGGACTATGATGCAATGCTGTTTTCACTCTGCAGTTGTAACCATAGGTGTTAATTTAGTACAGACTTACATCTGACAAAAACAAAACAAAAGCACACCACCAATAATTCTTTCAGTATTATTTTTCTCAGGTAATGCACTGTATAGCATCACAAAAGTGCTCCTTTTCTGCTTCATTACAAAGATACCAGATTATTTTGCTCCACTGCAGAAAGCATTTTCCTTGTGGATGGGTTATGTCATATAGGAGGTGTGTTATCTAGTTCAGTCATGATTTCCTTCTAGGTATAAGTCCTGATTGGTATAGATAGATCTGCCATTGATGTAGTAGGATTTCACTCTGACATTGATGTTAATAATACTGCTATTTTGCCTGTATGGTAAAATCCTGCTCTAACTATCCCATCAAAAACTAAATGAGTAGTTGATGCTTTTTTTTGGTAGGCTGAATAACAGCATTACTTTTTATTACTTGGTTGATGGACATCTCTACTTTTTCTTTCCCAGTATGACAACATCTTAATGGAAGAGTCTGCTCAGATTCTGGAGATAGAAACCTTCATACCTCTCCTATTGCAGGTTAGACCTGAATTATAAAACACACTACAAAAAATGATAAATAAAAGTCTGTGTTGAACAATATAGAATATTAAAAGGAAAATATCTTCTGCAGAAGTAACCTAGAACTGATATCTGCCATTTGAGTGGGCAGTAAGAACTTTCATTGTTCTACATTAATTGCTGGGGTTTTTTTGTTTTTTTAAAAAAATATTATGGAGCAAGCTAATGGGCTCTAAGTATGTTGCTTTTATTGACTATATAGTATTAACAGACTTTCATTTTGAAAATAAAAAAGCAAAGATACTTATGTAAACTAGGTCCTGGCTTTGTTACTTTTATTCTTTCTTATTTAATAGTTGTTATTGCTAATTTTAAAAATTGATAAAATTATTACTTCTTATGAAATAATTATTTTATTTACCAAGAATGTAAAGCTTACACAATTGCTCTGTGTCATCCTGTGTGCTCCTCGTGTTTGGTCAGTTTCAGTCAAAATTAACAGAGATAGATGCCAAGAACCTACAACTTTCAGGAAAACTGGAACCAAGTAGAGAGGAGACACTCTAACTGATGTTACAAGTCCATAGAGAAAAGAAATGGTCACTGGTTCTACTTCTACTTTCGCCCAATAATTATGCACCTTTTGTCTAGCTCATTGGTAAATGTTAAGCCTGGAATCAGCTGCATCTTGTGCTATGTTTGGCAAAGCAACAGTTGGTAGATAAGGGAATGCAGACATGATACAGCTGAGTGGAAGTCTTGCAGCTGGAGAGGTACTGCTAACCCAGGGAAGGAGAGAAGGAAAATGAGGCTAATGTGTCACAGGGGAGATCGATAGCAATAGCTCTGTAATGCAAGGGATTGTTGTAATAGAGGGCTAAC